CTTGCAGTTTTTGAGCTGTTGAAAATGATGATCTGAATGCCCCCGATCCTCCTCTGTTGTCGTCTTGAGTGCAGGTCCTAGGTTTGCCAGCCTTCTCCCCATCCCTCTGCAGCTTCAGTCACCTTTGGGCTTTCAAAGATAATTGCTCGCGGGACCAAAACTACTTTAGAGAGCGGGCGGAAATGGCAGTGCTGCTCTTCCAGCGCTGGCTGTCTAGTGGGGAGGCTCCCGCCCTTCCCCTTTCCCTTGATGTTGTGCTCTCTCGTTCCTTCCTTTGCCAGAGACTGGCAGTGCTGATCTGCTGACAGACGCATCTATTTCGAGCTGGTTTGGATCACAAACTTAAGCCATCCCAGCAGGACTTTGCCTAGGGAGAACAAGGGAGCTTCCACACGCTGCTCTGCCAGCGAGCTGACGGTGGTCCTGCCCCCAGGAGTGCTGCGGAGGAGCCCGTAGGAGGTGACCTCTTCCAGCAGCACAGCTCAGGCTGGAAGAGGACATTTAACTGTAGATTTGTCTGAACCTCGTTTCCTTCTTGATACTCTGATTTGAGAGCGAAGGCCTCGGCGTAGCTAAACAGCCTCTGGCCTGCTCTTACTTCCATTCTGACCTTTGCCTCCTCCGGTTAATTGTGGTCACCCCTCGGCAAAGGGGAAGACAAAGAATCAAAACCTATGAGCTTTGTGGACGTGGCCTTTAGTTCTTCCTCCTGTCAAGGAGTCTCTGTGTGTCCCATGGCAGCTAGGTTAATCACAGATGAATGCAGTTTGGAAGAGCATTTTGGAGCTCTGTTTCTGACCCTGGCTCACAGCAGGGTCAAATTCAAAGTCAGGTCGGGTTGCTCAGGGCCGTGTCCAGCCGCGTTTGGGGAGGGGGGAGATGCCACCACCTTTCTTCCCAGGCTAATGTGCTCTGAGGACCCCCATCGTGTTAGTTTTTGGGGCACCGAGAGGTGATCTCCTTTTTGCTTTAGCCTTTCTGATTTTTTGTCTCTGTGTGCTCATTCTGTGCTCGCCTGCAGCCTGACCTACTTTCCACCGTCTTTGATTCCCTTCTTGAGTTCCAGGTTACTGAAAAGCTCGCGTTGGCCTCCTGCTTCACTTCCCTCCTTTCCCTGCACTGGGATCGCATGTGCGATATTGCGCCCTTGATAGTCTCTCTTCTGGTCTCTGAAGGTTTCTGATGGTAGGCAGCGCCACAGATGAGCAAAGGGAAGCCGTATGCTGGTTTCTAGCCTGAACTGGAGCTCCATTTTCACCATTGCTGATCTACAGCCACCTTAGGTTGCATGAAATCTCTCGGCTAGGTGTTTTAGTACAGGTTTCGTTGAGTGAGGGTTTGCAGGGCCAGCACTCGAAGGGAAACAGTCGCAAAAATCCCTCCTGGCCTTCAGTCTTGGCAACTAACATGACCAAGCTGGCCGTTTTCCTTCCTTAATGTCTTTGGGAGACAGGGTTTGGGAGACTGGCTTGATATATGTAGAGAAAGGACCAGGATTCACTGGCCTGTTATATTTCTCCTCTTCCTGTTAAATGCCAGTGAGCTCCTGGGCCTATAACATACCTCAAAGCTTCCTAGACCTGATCTTCTCCAGCTCTGTGCTCTTTTGAGCCAGGCTACGTAGGAGAAGTCTCACACCATGACTAAACACGTATGAGCAGGGTGTGCTGTGGTGGCTGACAGATTGCCTTGCCGCCTGGCAGACAAATAAGGGGAACTTCCCCACGCAGTTCGTTAGCAGCCCTTCTTCCTCAGCAAAGCCAGCGAGGGGAAGCAACGTGTTTGAGAGCTCGAAAGCGTGACTTGGAGCTGGCAAACGGTCCCCTTGGCAGGAATCTGTTCCCACAGGGCCCTGGATGCTGTCGGAGACTGGCTAGCCAGCAAAGACGGATGCTTTCATCCCTACCCCTGCCCGAGTCCTTTAGCAAGCCAGCAAGCAGGCAGTCCTGCCTGTCCCAGCGTTTTTGGTGTCCCCTGCCGCCTTCTCTGTGTCTTCCTGAGGCGGTACCAAGATTTGGCCCCGACTTGGAGAGTTCTTTGCTCAGATCAGGGTGCGAACTTGAGCACAGCCAGCAGCTCTGAGATGGCCACCGGCCACGCCGTGGACCATCCCCTGCATGCAGGTTAAAGCAAAAGGTTGTCTCAACTGAGCCCTTTTCCGGGTGTGATGGAGGCGATCAGGACGTTGGCTGCTGTCAGGAGCTTCTCTCCCATGTCCTGGGAGCGCTTTGTTGAGAACTCGTGCTGGGATTGTTCACGGGGTGTTTGCAGTCGTGGTCCCTAGGTGAGGAGACGTCCTCTCAGCACTCAGAAGCTGTCTGGAATGACAGTCCGTGTCACTGCTGCACAGAGACCGTGGGGGCTTCTGGTTGCTGCTGCAGGCTTGGAAACCTCCTAAAACATCAAGACTTGGGCCATCGTTGTTTCTTTAGCCTCTGAGAGGCTGGCGCTGTTTCGTCCGTCTACGGCCCCTTTTCGAGCGGTTCGTAAGGAGCGTGGCCTTCTGACGTGAAAGGAGGTAGGAATCTGAACCTCCAAAATTTTCCCGTGCTGAAAAAAATTAGTGTCAAATGTGGATCTGTTTTTGTCTCAGCTAGGGTTTTTGTTGGACCGTCTCCTCTCCCCCGCTGCCTCTTCTCGGTTTGGTTTTGTTTGTGTTTATTCTTTGTGCGTTCTAGGGACAGCAGGTGGGTTTCTCATAGGACGTGGGGTTTTTCTTGGTGTAATTATAGCCCAATCGTAGGCCAAGCCTGTAGCCTTTGAATTTGTATCCTGGCCCCGTAAGCTGAGGAGCCCCTGGGCTGGGTGCAGGGGGCTTCATGCTCCGGCTTTTGACGCGGGCTTGTTCCTCCATGTGGCTTTGCCGTTGCTTTGGGGTTTTGCAGCAGGCGTTGGCAAGCCGGGGAGGGGATGTTTCTGCTTCCTCCATGTGTTTCCACTGTGTTCCCATCTGGTCCTGAAGCCACAGGAACTCGGAGCGCCTTTGCACGCGCCCCGGCGTTGCTTCCCTTTTCCCTGCGGGGCTCAACTCGGCCGCCGTTCGCCTCGGCCTTCGCTGCCGGCAGCCCACCTGGCCTAGCCTCCCGTTCCTGTGCTCTCCCAGGGCCGCTCCAAGCCCCTGCTCTCATTTTGGGATAGCGTTGTCTAAAATCGCGACCGCGCTGGTGGTGCTCGTTGGTCGGTTTTTCCGAAGAACAGGGCGTTTTTAGGGAGATTTTGCTGCTGTCGCCAGGTTGGGTTTGAACCTCTATTTTGTGCACCCTCTCCTTTGTGCAATGGGAAACCCTCACCGGGGTCTCAGGAGTCCGGCGGCGTCCCTGTATCCCTGCTCCCGATGGAAAATCGCTTGCTTGTTTGCTTTTGGCGGCGTGATTTGACTTAAAACCTGCTGGCGCGTCCTAAATTGCAGCAGGGATGCTGGCAGAGGGTTGAGGAGAGGCTGGTTCCTGTCTCCCTGGTGGGGACACCCGGTGGCGGGTGCTGGGTCGG